CTGTCCTTTCCTTCTTTCAGCCTTATACCCATTGACATGTTTCACACAGACCTAGTGCATGGGACCCAAACGGCAAACTGCTACTTATTTAAATCTTAATTTTCAGAGCTGGATTGAGTCAGAGAGCATCTAGTCCAGGTGTGTTGAGTCATGAGTTTACAAACTTCTCAGGTAGAAACCACTCAAGTGAACATGAGTGGGTGGCTGGATAAACAGAACGTGGTCCATCCACACACTGGACTATTACTCAGCCACAAAAAGCAGTGAATCTCTGACACATGTTACAGTGTGGGTGGACCTGACCACACGGTGATCCGTGAGACTCCAGACACACAAGGACTCACAGTGTGTGACTCCATTTATAGCAAATGTCTGGAACAGGCAAATTCACAGAAAGTGGATTCTTGGTTGCTAGGGACTGGGGAGTGACTGATCATGGAGACAGGGGTCCCCTTTTGGGCTGATGAGAATTTTCTGGAACTAGATAGCAGTGATGGCTTCACGATATTGTCAATGTGCTAAATAGCACAGACTTGTGTTTTTTCACCTAGTGACTTTTATGTCGTTGTAAATTTTTCCTCAATAAAAACTAAATGAATACCCCTCCCAAATATCAAAGTCATAAGTGACATCACCCCTAAAGTTAAGGGCAGATAGAATCCTGGTTACCTCCCTGCCCACCACCCCTTCTCCAACTCCAGTACTCAAGAGCCAAGCAAGTTACAGACTTTTTTTTTTTTTACACCTGTTTATGGCTTAGTCTCCCCAGATTTATCCGTGCGTTCCTTGGGGAAAGTTTCTGCAAATGAATGTCTCTGCAAGAAACTGTGAAAATTTGAGTGATACACAAGTCTTATTACATTTGCAAACATCCCAAGTTGCCTGGGAAGCAAGACAGAAATCATATTGGAGGATAGGATGGAATTAGCAGATCGATCGACGAAGATTAACACTTGATAAGATCATGCCACTGGTCTGTCTACCCCTGAGAAAGGTGCTGGTAGGTGGCATTATCCATTATATCAGCAGAGCAGCAGGCAATCGATGGCATGAAGAGATCACGCCCCTTGTCCTGTGAGAGAAACGTGGAAGCACCTCCAGTGCACAGAGTTGCCGACGCTGAGTGCGCAGGGGTGGGAAGCAGGGCTCCTGAGCCTCTCTCCCAACATGTCCCTGAAGTTTGCATGGATTTATCTTGCAAGCAAGCTGCAACTCCTTAGAGAAGCCCTGGAGTCTTCAATGATGCAGAGGATGCTATTGAAAACCCTGCTTCCTCCCTGGTTAAGCCACCATTCGTGGCAGCATGAGCTGCCATACAGCATGGGGTTTGCCCCCTCGACAGGGGATCCTGCATTGAGGACCCTCTGCCTCAGTAGCACCGTGTCAAGATACAGCGTTTCTCTCATTTTATAAGGACAACAGTATTATCTGGAAGCCACATGCCTCCCGTGATAGACTGAACGCTAGAGACTGCATCCAAAAAAGAGTTACAGAGATCTCACCTCAGAGATGGCACAGAGAACCCTTTTGGGAACATGCTCTGCACAAAAGCACAGGAACACTGAGCTACAGAACATTTGGGGAACAGCTAATTTATGTATAATGTACTATGTGGGACCACAGAAAAATAATGCACAGGAGGGTGCTGGTATTAACTGATTGCTCATGCCTTCCTCCAAGGGTGGCTTTAAAAAAAAGTGTCTATTTCCAGTTGCTCAAAAAATTAAAAATAGGACTTTCCCATGAGCCACGTATCCCACTTCTAGGTCTACATCCAAAATTATTGAAAGCAGAGATTTTAAGAAATATCTGCACCCATATGTCCACTGCAGCACAATTCACAACCACCCAAGTGCCCATCAACAGACAAATAGATGAAGAAAATGTGATCTGTCCACACAGTGGAATATTATTCAGCCACAAAAAAGAAGGAAATCCTGCCATTTGTAATAACAGGGGTGAACCCGGAGGATATTATATTAAGGGAAACAACCCACTTACAGAAAGACAAATTCCACTTACACGTGGAATATAAAATAGACTCAGAGAGGCGGAGAACACAATAGTGGTTTCCAGGGACAAATGGTAGTTGCTGCTCAATGGCTATAAAGTCTCCATTATGGAAGATGAACAATGTCTAGAGTGTGCAACATTTCCCATAATTAACAATATGTATTGGACACTTAAAAAATTTGTAAAGATGGTAGATCTCATGGTATGTTCTTACTACAGTTAAAAAATGCAATGTGCCCATATGTAAGTCCCATTGAGATATTCTGGTCTTCTAGTATCTGCATCCACATCACCTAAGGATTTTCTTTATGGTACCCCCAATACACATACCACTCAACCCTGGGATGCCTACAGCCTTATTACAAATCTATTTCAGCCTTATTTCAACCTTATTACAGCCTTACTTCAGTCTCATTATAGCCTTATTTCAGGCTTATTACATCCCTATTTTAGCCTTATTGCAGTCCTATTTCAGGCCATACAGGCTAATTTCAAGGAATTTTCTACTCACTTTGTGGCGACAGACTCACATTACTCCTTATCTCCAAAATGACCCTGTCATCCCACCAGCTATTCTCCTGGGGACGTACGAGTTCCACGCAATACTGCTGTGTGGGCAGATGCACTCCATCGTTTTCCAATTCTCTGTAAAACAAATAAGTAACAGCTCACATATTTAAAACTTGCTCCATTGTGGAAAATAAATCTGCACAAACACTGTTTTTTGGCTATGCATGGAACAGGGTATTTGTTTTGTGCTCTGGCACATGAGAAATCCCTCCCCCCCTTTTTTTTTCAGCATTATTAAGATAGAATCGACAAATGAAATTGTGAGATATTCGAAGTGCGCGTCATGGTGATTTGACAGCTGGGGCAGGTATTTAAAGCCCCACCAGAACCTCTGTGTGGCAGGAGTGCCCAGGACTGGGTGCAGGAGCTGGTTGTGGGGCGTGGTTGTGTTTCAGTCTATTATTCCTCTGCATTCTCACTGCATGTCTGGGGAGAGTTTCCGAATTTTGGGTCAAGAACTGGAAGCCAAAGGGAAAAGAGCGCCCTGCCTGCGGCTCCTTGGTGGTTGCGTTTCTGCAGCTCCAGCCACCGCTGCGTCTACCTACCCTCTGAGCTCCAGAGCTGGGAGTCAGCACGGCTCCCATGCATCTTCACGTTTACCCTGGCCCAGCGGGTGCCAGAGCCCCTTGTGCACAACTGCCGAAGGGTTTCCCCGTGAGCTGCTGCCGCCTGCGTGCCCTGATGTGCCTGGGAAACCCATGCACTTACCTCCTGCTAGCCCTAAACTATCTCTTTTCTCAAGCAAAAGACAATCCACCTAGAAAGCAGACCTGGCAGCCAGGGACTGGTGCCAGAGAAAGCTCGTTTTCCTGCACGTGGCAGCTGCCAGCTTCTCAGGTAACCGTATCACCTGCAGGATCTCCCTGCTTCCCTCAAAGGCCCGGCTGGGGCCCACCTGTCTGCACAAAACCACCGGCTCTCTGTCTGTGGTGAGACTTCTGTAGGCAGACTCGTCTGGGGGAGCAGGTCCCCAAAGGGACCTCTTCAAAGGGGGAAGGTGACAAGGTCTGCCCTTTCCCAATGCCCCTGGCCCTCCGGGACTGCAGTGGGAAGGGAAGGGAGATTGGGTTCCCTCCAGGTGCCTGTGCTTTGTTGGGGGACCTCCCTGGGGAGCTTCCAGGAGCCAGGTCCCTCCCCGCAGCCCCATCTTCCTTTCCCTCCGGAGACATCTCTGGCCAGGAGGCGCAGTGACCTCAATTCAGGCTCAAGAAGGGCTCTGAAATGTCTTCCACCCTGGGCTTAGACAGCACAGAACAAGGCACAGAAGGAGAAGCCCCTTTAGGGGAAGGGGAAAGCTCTGGCTGGTGTCTGGGCTCACAGGTCCTGGTGCACGAGGCAAAATGCACAGGGAAAATCAGCCACCCAGACCCCAGACAGGTGGGTACTGCGCTCGCACTTGCGCACCCACCAGATGATACAGCGTCTGCTCTGAGCCACCTTCCTGTACCTATTTTCTTTCCCTTGCTGGCAAGTGGCCAGCCCCGTGGAAAATTCCTTGGGTGGAATTTTCCCCCAGCCCAGCCAGGGACAATGTAAGGCACAATTCTTTGAAAAGGAAGCGACCTTCCCAGGGTACAGGGAAACGACTGCCAGGGACAGGGTCCTCTGGTCTGGTTCCACTCTCTCCACCCACCCTTCTTCCTACACGTAATTCCAAAATCACATTGATCGTGGAAGGAAGGGCTTTCTTGGACAGTTTTAAAGTGTCTTTCCAGAGACTCCCATGTTTAAAATCTGCTCCATCATGAGAGATACGTCCTGCTGAGAAGCTCTGGTTTCCTGCTATGCATGGAACATGACACTTTCTAACTCTTTTTATAAAATACGGATTCTTTATTCAGTGAAGTTTGGGCTATGGCAACATGCAAAACCTTGTTCTTTCAACCTCATTAAAATGAAATTGACAAAATTCACAAGATATTTACCGTGTATATCATGGTGACTTGATATATGGATATATTGCAATTCCCAGCATCTAATTAATCAACATATCCATCATCTCACATATTTATCCTTCTTTTTGTGGTGAACAACATGTAAGTTCAACTCTCTTAGCAAATTTCAATTACACGATAAAGTTCTCATAATTATGTAGTATGCTATCACAATGCATACAAATTGTATCATCAATACAACATATAGATATTTACTTTAATATTTTAAAATATAGTCATTATTATAAATTATGATTGTAATATATTAAAATAAAAATAATCATATATACAATTATGATCATATTATAATAAATATGGTAAATTATAAATGATTATCCTATCTTACAATAAACATAATAAATTGTTCAAATGATCATATCATTCTATTACAATGAATATTTTAATAATAAATGGTAATAATATAACAGTTACAATAAGTACCAATCACCGTATTGAAATAAAATATAATATATTATAAATGATCATAATATTATCATGTTACAATAAATATAATAAGGTTATACTGGGTCCCTGTACGGGTGTGTGTTGAAGCCTTATGCTGTGACCTGCGGTGATGCTGGCTGGGAAGATGACAACGTGTCCAAAAGGGTCTGGTAGTTTCTTGTGAAAACCACCTCGGAGATCCGAAGGGCCATGCTGATGTAGAATGAGGCTCTCTGGAAAGCGGGGTGGCTTTTCTCTCCTCACAGCTTGGTGGGGTGCATCCAGGCACAAATGTCCACAACCATCCATTACTGTCCCCTGAGAAGCCCGGGGTCTAGACCTGCTAGCATCTTGCAGTTACTATAGGAAACCACTCCTTATTAGTATCCATATTAATTCCTTGAAAAAAAAAACATATTTAAAAACCGGTTTGCTACTCCTAGGAAAATACACAAAAGAATCAAAAACAGGGACTTGGATACTTATGTAAGGGTGTCCACAGCAGTTTTATCACAGTGGCCAAGATGTTGGAAACATCCCAAGTGTCCGTGGACGGATGGATGGATACACACAACATGGTCCGTGATGTGCACATGGGAATATTACTCAGCCATGAAAAGGAGCGGAGCTCTGACACATGCCCAATGTGGATAGACCTGAGATGCAGACACCCAGGGACACAAGGGGTGGGATCCATTGATAGGAAATACCCAGAACAGAAAACGCCCAAATTCATAGCCACAGAAAGCAGATGAGAGGTTACCACGGATTGAAGTAAGGTAAGAAGGACGTAGTATTGTTTCATTCATTCAGAGTTTCTGTTTAGGGAAATGAAAGAGCTTGGAAATAGTGGAGATGGTAGCACAAGCGTGAACACACGTAAGACCACTGAGGCGTACATGCAGAGGTGCTTAACATGGCAGGTTTTATGTTACAGATGGTCTCACATTTCTAAAATACTGTATGAAAATTTTACCTTAAAAATGAACTTCTGTACAGTATTACTCAGCCTTAAAACATCTAGACATTTAATGAAGCAGATTGCTAGTCAATCCCCACACTTTAGACTCAGATGCAGGGGAAAATGTGAATTCACTCTCTTCCAAGGTTCATTCATTAAAGGTCTGTGAAGGATGTAGCCTCGGAGGCTGATTCTATGTAAGTAACCAACAGATATGGTTCCCGTAGACCCATCCTAGGATATACTGGGTATCCAGTCATTTGGTTCAGATCTGGTCCAGATCCAAAGATTAGTGGGTATCTTTGGTGAACTGTTACCATTGCTCAACACTCACAGTAGATACATTTCATAAAGTCACCGGGAACACCGAATTCGCAGAAATGAAATCATCACCTGCAGGGGGACATAACGGGTTCGGTTCCCAGACTCAGGGCACATTTTCACCAGCCAATTGATACACAGCCTTTCTTGGGTGGGTTTCTGCTTAAAAGCACCTTATGTAACCTGCATCTTTGACGATTCACATTGAACTCACAGCCAACGGCCCTATAACTCATGCCCGGGGGGCAAGCGTGTCTAGCACAAATATTTTGTCCGTGAGGCACGTCACAGTCTTCTTGTACTTAGGGACACCTGACCGCACCCGAGCACTGTTTGGGGTCCACTTTAAACAGCAAAACCCCCAGCAACAAGCACAAACATGCAAACAGCATGACATGACATGGATGAGAATGGGACATTGTTTATAGTAACAGCCGAAACAAGAAGGCAAAGGGTCGCCTCGTTCAGCTCAGCTGGCACCATGCACAGAAGCCAATGGAAATTTTTCACTGCTCTGGGCATGTCTCCAAATGACTGCAAAAGGGCCACGAATATGGATTTGTCTCAAGTCGTCAAATTCGCTGATACAGGATCCACAAAAGAGGATGGACCCACTTTGAATGAGCTGTGACCCCCGGTATTCATGCCCTTGTCTGTCTTCTCCCCCAGAACCAGAGTGACATGATTTATCCTACCCAACGCAACAGAGAGTGGCTGCCCTCTTCCCACATGTGAGCAAGGCTGGGAGCCTCAGCTTTGGGAATATAGAATTAGTCAGCCTCCACGCAAAGACCTCAACATGCTGTGAAAAGCTTTCCTTAGCCCCGTAGACAAGAAGAAGGGACAGTCAAGTATGCCAGCTATGCCATCAGCCTCCACCCAGCACCAAGTGCCAGGCCAGCGCACATGCCACCTTGGGAGTCAAGCCTCTTGCACACTCGAGCTTCCCCTTCTCATGCCCCCCAAGGGGTGGGCCACTCTGTGTCCTTGGAGCCCTTGCAGGATCTCCATGATGCCAAGAGCTATTTGTCATTTCATGCCCTCTCCACCTGAGGCACACACCTCTCTCCTTGGAGACGGTTACCTTGACTTCCAAGACCGTTCACCTAATTCCCAGTTGCTCTGTGAACATTTCCAGGGCAAGGCATCCCCTTTCAAGACTCAAAGACACGATGCAGAATGCCTTGAGCATCCGTAAAAAATCCTTAGACACGCTGAATCAACCAATCCAAAATCACCTCTAAGGGGGTCTGCATTTTTCTTAAACCCGTCTCTGCCATTTTCCAGTTTGTTCTTGTGATATCTATGCTTTTCCATCCAGGTGAGACTAGTGAGCATTTGGGGTCTGTTCTAATATTTCTGTTTTAATATTGCTACCTGTAACTTCTTATAAGATGGTGATAAGGCACATGATGGGGAGGAGGCAAATATGGACCTGCACACTGAAGGTATCTCAGTGACAGTAATTCTTATGTATACACAGACATTCCCTCAAAACTCTGGAAAGGACAGGAGGGTCTGGAACGAGTAAGAGCGACATAACAATTTAGAAGCAGACTTGCCCCATGTAAGCCTAGCCAGAGACGGCCAGCACACGGAATGCTGTGTGCATCTCAGGGCGGGACACCACGCACACAGAACAACCACTCAGATACTGACAACCTCATCTACACACCTCTCTAGGGCTCCTAGATACTGGGAAACAAACCGCCTTTGGTCAGAATGAGTTCTTAAGTGCAGTATAGATGTAGTATGTCCCAGAAAGCTCTAACACACATCGTGATGGTGCCTAGGGACCTTCAGGACGGCTCCCAAATCAGACTAGTGATGACGTCCAGACGTGCGTTGCTAAGGGAAGCTGTGGAACTAGGGAAGGAATACTGTTTGAACTAAAGCACCAGGACAATGCCCAGCTTATTAGAGACAAAGAAATAAAGCAAAGCCACGTGTGCCATATCAGAACGCACTCATGTGCTAGGGCTAAGGACTGGGTCACCCAGAGCAGTGACCGCTCTCTAGGTGCCCCAGGAGAATGACCAACAGGAAAACTCACCATATGTAATATTCTCGTGAAAATGATAAGCCGACACTCCTTTTACCCCCCTGTGGAACATCTCCCTGTTTCCACTCTTGGGTTCCTTTGAAACATCACCTGGGAAAAAACAATCACCTGGAAGAAATAAACATGAGGCAGGTGTCTCTGTATGAGAACCATGAGAAAGGAAAATGGACTAGTTCACTGAAAAATTAATAATGAAGAAATGTTGACTGTGAGATTACTTTTATTCTATACCTCCTGATGCAAAAAGAAGGTAATTCCAATCAGAAGATGGTACCTTCAGCCAATGGCTAGATTCCTAAAAATTTCATTTATGCTCTGTATCTATGTTATACTTTCTGGTTCCTATAGGCACGACCCCATTTGTCAGCGAAACAGGAAGGGTCTCAAAAATCATTACTTATGATACGTAATTGTAGAGACAGCTCTCTCTGGGCAGTTACAGAGATGCACTGAGATGAAGGCTGTTTGATCTATGACCACTTCTTCCTGGGAGAAATTTAATTTCCCGCACATTGAAAAAAGAAAGCACATGTCAAGAGAAATTATTTTTTCATCCATTTAGCAGAAGCCAGCCACCCTCAACACCAGTGGCAGATGGTAGAGATGAGGAAGGTCCTCGAAGGGAAGAGGATAATAGACAGGGTTTCCTTTGTAGGCTCACTTGAGTGATTCTTATATATATGTATTACACTGTCACTAAATATTCTCTGAGCATATTGGAGGTGGTGGGTGAGGGGGGGTGGATTGCAACAGGCATATTTCACGATTGCTCCCTGGGTGATTCTGAAAGAGCGCTTCCTTCTCTTGACCTTTTCCTACTAAGAACTGCAGTCCTCAAGAATCACGAGTCTCTTTTCCAGAGAGCATGGGTGAGGGCAAAACGATGCATGCATGTCATCTTCCTGAGAACAAAACCATCCCCCCTCACGCTCTCCCTGGACGCTGAGAAATGAAACCACGCAAGATTTTTCAGTTACTCGTTACCGCAGTTCCCAAAAGATCCATCACCTCTTCAATGGAAAGTATCAACAGATGGTTTTTGCGCTAAACTTTTCTGGCTCTCTCATGTCAAAATCCTCATCGTGGTGTTTGCACAGACCCCACACTGTTGCAACTTGATCCTTACTCAGTCGTAATCCAGTCTCCTGCATGGAAAGGCTCACCTTAACCCAAATTTCCAAGTCTCCAAAACCCTGGCCTTCGTCTGCCCCCTCCAGGACACGGTCAAGTTTGTGGGGTGGTGGTCTTTCTGATCAAACCGAGCAATAAACTCAGCCTCATCTTACCAACAGGTTGCATTACTGACATTTCCTGATCAGCTCTTGACATCTCCACGCACCTCTGAACCCTGCCAAGCAATTACTAAACCTATTCCTGAAGTCAAATATTTCAAACACTATTTTTTTTATTCAGGAGATATTTTCCTTCCATCCTTTTCAAAAGTAGAACCATAAAACTGTGTGCATTTTGCATAAAGAGTTCAGATCTATTTGGTCTTACAAGAGGCAGCTAAATTCTGTTTCATTTCAAGTCTCCTTCTGAGAGGGAGGGCTTTGCAAATCCTCCCCTTACACCATTAGTTAATTTAAAAAGCAGGTACATATTATTTTCTTGACCTGCTCAACTTATTGAGCAATTTATTGACCACGTTTTCTTTTCATTTGAAGTAATCCTCGTCAAAACTCTCAATGGCCCTTGGGAGGAGCATAAATGATTGAATACGAGCTCTACATACAAAGCCTAAGGAAAGGTGAACAACGGAAAAAAGAAAACCCCAGGGCAGAAAGACCCAAATACTGTGACATTATTTATATGAGTTTGTTTAAAGTATTTGAAATAACATTCTATGTTGAGTTCAGAGCAAAATCCCTACATAAGCAAAGTATGGAGGCAGGCATATCAGCTTCCTGTGGCTCCTATAACCAATTCCCGTAAGTTCGGTGGCTTAAAACAAGATACATGTATAAATGTATCATCTTATCACTGTAGAGGTTGGAAATCGGAAATGGGCCTCATGGTTCTAAAACCAAGTTGTTACCAGAGCGTGGACCTTTGGGAGAATGAAAAGGTGAATCTGTTTCCTACAGACCTCACCAGAAATGTCACCTCCTTCGAGATCCGTCAACCACCCAGTCTAAAATTGTCACAAAAACATCATCTTCTCTCTCTGCTTCAGCTGTCATTTTACGTTTATTTATATACTCACTTCATATTCGTTTATCTCCAAAAAAAGAATGCAAGCTCCAAGAGATTAGGCATCTTGCCTTTATCACCAGAACCAAAAATGTATCTGGCGTGTCACAGGTGTTCAATAAATTTTGCAGACATTTTCTCTGTGTTTAAATCCTTCATCAGCAACCAAGCAATACTGAAATCATTATAATTCACTGTAATAGGGTATCATTTGTAAATTGGCAGCCTTACTTCCTTATCTCAATATCACCAACAAGACTTGAAACCCTTCACAAGAATTACCATCATGAGCAATATTTATTGAGCACCTATTATGCCGAGCGGCATCCAGAAAGCCTTGTAAGGATTGTTATCTCAATTTGATGCATAAGGAAATGACAGAGTCAGCTGGTAAGCATAAACCAGAGGAATCTGAACCCCTGGGATAATATTTCTTCAGTCTTCAGAGGAAACTAGTTTACTTTTCCAAATAGCACGATTTTCAAGCTTATTGGGTACTGCATTAGTGTCATAGGACTTCTATGATACGTTAATACAAACCCGGGTGGCTTAAATGAAAACGTACATTGTTTCAGAATTCTGAGGACCAAGAGTCTGAAATCAAGGTGCCACAGAGCCGCCAGGGGAGGGTCCTTCTTTTCCACTTCCCGCTTCTGCTATCGCTGGTAATCCGGGGTATCTTTAGCTTGTAGAAATGCCCCTCTAATCTCTGCCTCTATGCTTACATGGCCTTCTCCCTATGTGAATGTCTCTTTTCCTCTTTCTATATGGGTACCTTATCCCATGGGGTTTAGAGGCCAGTCCACTCCAGTATACCTTCATCTTAATTGAATCACACGTGCAAAAGACCCTATTTCTGTAGAGCGTCACATTTTCAGGTGGCAGAGATTAAGACTTGAACATATATTTTGTGGGGACACAATAAAACCCATAACAGGCACTATTTTATATTATTTTAGATGAAGCTGTTTTGAAATCTCAGAATACCAACAATTCAACCTGAATACACTGGGTGTACAATAGTCTCCTGTTTTCTGTGCTTTCTCTTTCCATGGTGTCAGGTACCTGGGGCCAACCCACGGCCCGGGAAGCAGATGGTCCTCCTTCTGACATATCCTCAAAAGATCAATAGCAGCCTGAAGCTACAGCACATGCCTGCATCACCCACCTCACTCCATCTCATCACGCAGGCATTTTATCATCTCTCATCATCACAGGAAGAGGGGTGAGTACAGTACAATAGGATAGTTTGAGAGCTACAGAGACCCCATTCACCTAACTTTTATAACAATATATTATTAAACTGTTCCATTTTATGATTGATGACTATCTCTTACTAATTGATAGCGATTTACCTTTAGCATTATGTTCACATTATTTTATCATTTGTAAATTATTTTACTGTGCTCAATTTATAAATCTACCTTTCACCTAGGTATGTACGTATAAGAAGAAACATGGTAGATGTAGTGTCGGGTATTATTCACCACTTCAGGAATGAAATGCATGGAATGTGTCCCCCACAGATAAGGGGGGACTTTACTCTCAAAGTATTGTGACAGGCAGTAAGGGAGGAACAATATGTCCTGTGCTCAAGAAACCTAGGACATTTGCAGTTGTACATAAGAGGCATTGCACAAACTGCCCTGGAGTGAACTGCATACGGAAGATACAGAAAGAACATGACACAGCCTCCTACGAGTTGAGAGAAGAAATAATGTAAATGAAAGTAAAGGTGATTTTAAGGCGCTGAGACTTGCATTGAGCCGTGTACAGTGGATGCAGAGAAATAATGAGATGAACACATGTGCAGGGGGGTGGGTGGTACAGGGTTGGGAGGGCAAAGGGCTATAAGCAAAACTTCTAAGGAAGGTAACGGGGGAAAGCAGGGTGAATACATAGAGCTGAAGCCGAAACAAGGTGGAGGAAAGGCTTTGACAATGGAACATTGTACAGAAGGTCAGTAGAGAAAATGGGGCCGTGACCGTGGGGTTTAAGGAGCCGGGAAAGGGGCTCAGAGATTGTTTCTCTGCAGACCTGTGATGCTCTTTAACCTAACGCTCTTCCCCAACTTTCTATTAGTTCTTTCCTGCCTACTTCATTTTTCCAACCTGCTGGCATTTCCTTCTCTGGGTCGCTGTCCTTGACTTCTTATTTTAGCCCTGCAGACTCCCTTCACTTGAAGGACCCTGTTAAGAGGACCCACTTTCCCCGCCAGCCCTGACTAGAGAATTTCATACCCATCAGTTAAACGGTAACAGTGACCCACAGCTCACAGACATGGTGAAGGTAAAATAGTGAGCAAATACATGCGGGAGGATTGGAACAGCAGTGGCGCACCATGAAGGCTGTAGCGCTGTTGGTGCTATAATCACTGAGCAGGGGACAAAGATTAATACGAAAGATGCTTTTTTCCCTAGAAAGGAAGGGAGAAATTCTTTGTAGGAAGTCTTCTCATGGGCATACCTTTCTCCTAAGCTCATTTCCTTCCGTTTGGGGCTGCACCTCCTTGAAAATGCATCTTATTTAAACTTCTCTGTCACCCTTCCATCCTTCCTTAGTTAGCAACGCCCCTCTTTTTTGCAGGATTCACTCCACCCTGATGGGGATGTACCCCACCTCTGAGTTAAGCGCTCTAGAATATCCTCCAGGGGGTGTCCGAAGGACAGCTCTAGTGGATATTGACCTTTTGGGAAGAGCTCATGAAAGGACTTGGCTTTTCCCATCAAGGCATGGCACAGTTGGCCTCCCTTGAGGTGTACACACTGGTGTGACTTGCAGAGAAATATTCTGATTCTCCCAAATATTCAGAAGGCGATACTGAATCCCACACACTCCCATAAAGAGCAAACTTCAGTCGTCAACCCAGAAAACCCTATGCATAAAGAACAGAAACATTTCTTAATGTCACCACA